AAAAAAAAAAAAAAAAGAGGCAGGAGTGGGTAGGAGGCAGCCTGGGGCGGGGTACTGGGAAGAGATGCTTTGAGGCCAGTTGTCTCCATGTGCTGGGGCAAGCCCAGGCTGACTGGACGTGGTTTTTATTGGTCCCCTGAGAGCTGCTGGGGGATTAGAACCCAACAGCTTTAAGTCTGGAACTGTGACAAGTCACGACCAAGTGGGAGATGTGTTCTTTCCTCTCTAGAGCAGGCATTAACAAGGAATGAAAGAATCAGAAAGTCTTGGGTGCGGGAGACCTTAGAAGCCATGTATGCCTCTAACCCAGCCTCCTTATTTTAAGATGAGGAAACTGAGGCCCAGTTTCCTCAGTTGAAAATGAAGGTGGAAATGAATAAGAAGGCAAATTTTATTATCTTCTCAAATCAGAGAATCAACCTGCAAGTTGTTTTTAAAACTCAGTTTCAACAGAAAATCATACAAAAACGATTTCTTATTCCAATTAAAAACTGAACATCCTCACACATGCTTAAGAGGTTAGCAGGCGAGAAGAAACAGGGGAAAGGGGAGACCTGCTTCTTCTTTTCATCCTCCACCTGGTGACCTTACTTCCCTCTACCGGACCCAGTGACATGACAGTGACCGCCTCTAAACAGAAGCTACAGCAGGCAGAGTGGCTCATGCCTGTAATCCCAGCACTTTGGAAGGCTGAGGCAGGTGGATCACAAGGTCAGGAGTTCGAGACCAGCCTGTTCACCAACATGGTGAAGCCACAGTTCTACTAAAAATACAAAAATTAGCTGGGCATGGTGGCGCACACCAGTAATCCCAGCTACTCGGAAGGCTGAGACACAAGAATCGCTTTAACATGGGAGGCAGGGGTTGCTGTGAGCCAAGATGGCACCACTGTGCTGTAGCCTGGGCGACAGAGGGAGAGTCCATCTCAAAAACAAAACAAAACCAAACACAACAAAAATAGAAGCTGCAACATGGCACTGATGCTGGAGCCCAGCAGCCCAGCCAGTGACAGTCCAAATGGATGTGCTAGGGAGGTGAGGGCCAGAGTGCACCCTGCTGAGGTGGAGGAAAAGGGGTGTTGAGCCTTTCGAGTGGCATCAGGTGGCTGGCCTCTCAGCCCTCTTCCCTGGCTCTTCCCTAGGCTGGCAGAGGAACAGGACCTATATGGGAGCCAGTACCACTTCCCCCACGCCCACCCTCGGACTTCCGAAGGGGCAGCTCACCTTTTATCACACATCTCTGCCTCCTTCCTAAAGTTCTGTAAAAGGATTACTTTGAGTTGGGTGCAGTGGCTCACGCCTGTAATCCTAGTACTTTGGGAGGCTGAGGCAGGCGGATTGCCTGAGTTCAGGAGTGTGAGACCGCCCTGGGCAACATGGTGAAACCACATCTCTATTAAAAATACAAAAAATTAGCCAGGCTTGGTGGCAGGCACCTGTAGTCCCAGCTACTCGGGAGGCTGAGGCAGGAGAAACGCTTGAACCCAGGAGGTGGGGGTTGCAGAACCAACCTGGGTGACAGAGTGAGGCTCTGTCTCTTAAAAAAAAAAAAAAAAGGATCGCTTGGCAGGTTTGCCTGATTTGTTGCTCTTGAGATGCTCCAGGGTGAAAATGTGCCGTGAGGAATGTATGTGTGTGTAAGGAGGGAGACGGAGACAGGATCATTGAGAAATGGAAGAAGCAAGGACCAGGGCACAGGCTGGCATGCGTGTTTTCTGGAGAGACAGGGTCTGGTTGCGGAACCCCAAACCACATAAAGACTATGCTGCGTCCAGGGTCTCCTGGAGGCCCCTCTGGAGGATAGAAAATTGGGAAAGGTGACCAAGGGGTCACTGTGAGTTGGCTTCAACCCCAACTGACACTTGGAAACTCAATGTCTCAGCAGGGCCGGGTCTCTGAGAGCACCCGCACACAAACGTAAGACAGCCTCTGCGCACCAACAGCAGCCTTGCGAGGCCCTCTCAGCCCCTGGGGCCTCCACTGTGCTCAAGGCTGGGCGGCCTCTAGCAGCCGCTGCGGGTACATGGGTTTGTTCCTTCTTGGAAACAGTCCCCCGAGGTGAGCACTATCCTGGGTTCTCATACAGAAGTAGGGGACCTAGTGTTTTCAATCTACCTGCCTCCTTCTTTGGGAGTGTATGGGCAAGACCTCATGCAAAACCTTACTGTCCTCATTTTTCTGGAAAGGAGGCAAGCTGCGGGGTGGATATAGAGCACCAGCCACCGCACCTGACACTCTGCAGCACAGAGACCCAGGGGCCACCCCCATGCCCCAAGCATGACCACCTTCTCGCCACCTCCCCATTTCCCTCGAAATATTCCATCTCCTTTTTCCTCCTCATGCCATTCTGACTCTCGGTGGCCTTCCCAGGGATAGAGCATGTAAAGTCCTGCTGTGTCCCCCAAACACTCTGGGGGCAGGTGGCAAGAAACAGCAGCAGTACAACCTGGAGAAGCCCCACCCATCTTTCCTTCCCACCTGGTGGGATGGAGCCCTGCACCCATCCGTCACCTCTTCAGCAGGACCTGCGCAATACAAAGCCCACCCCAGCCATCAGCTGCCACCTGGTTCTGGAGTAGCTCCAGCCAACTGGGGTGTCAGCCCCACAGGCAAAGGCAGCAAGGAGAACAAACTGGAGCCCCCGCCCTGCTGTTCCCTCCCTCTCACTCCGGGCCTGGGCCCTGGCCCACGAGGCCCTAAGCCTGCCCTAGCCCTAAATACTTGGCAGGCTGCAGTGGGGGACAGGCTGGCGGCCATGTGTCATGATGGGACTCCAGGGCGTCAATGAGCCTCTCCCGCAGCGTCCGCACGTCAGCACCGGCCACTGCAAATGAAAACAGGCATGGGGGGGGGGTGTCAGGAGGGCGGAGCACCTTCCACAGCACACTCGTCAGCTTCACTCCCAGAAACAAAGGGCCTGGGGCACGGCCAGCCCTGAGAGACACAGGTGAGGCGTCAGTCCTTCCCTGCGCTAGAGGAATGGGGCTTGAGGGTCCTTCTGTGGCCCCAGGCAGTACAAGGACGCCCATCCCTGGAACAGGAAAGAGGCCCTCAGAACTGGGCCCCATCATGACTTTCCCCGGGAGACCGCTGGTCTGCTCTCTGGATGACAACCCCATTGTGAGAGGAAAGGTCTCCTGGGAACACGGTGTCCCTGCCCCTAGCCCAGGGCCCTGGGTAGGTCCAAGCTGAAGGGCGTCTTCAGTCTGGCTTTCCCAAAGGCTGACGGGGAGGACAGTTTTAGGAAAACACAAGTGAGGTTTCCTGTGGGGACCGCCTCACCCTCAACCCTGCCAAAAATGCCAAGGCTTTCTCCACCCCAATAGAAACCCAGGCCAAGGAGGCAGCAGGAGGAAGATGCTCACAGGACAACAGGACAGCCAAGGCCGGGACACCCACCTGGAAATACTGCTCCTGAGCTGTTCTTGGAGAAGGCCTTGAAGAACTGGAAGCAAAACACAGGTGGGCGTCAGTGATGGAAAGCGGCTAACAGTGCAGCCACGCAGGCCTGCTCTTAAAATCTGCCTGCTTACTCCATGTGGCGCCTGGGCAAACAACATACCCCTGCTGAGCCTGTTCCTTCATCTGTAAAATGGAGAGCTGTGGGGGGGGGGGTGCTCTAGGAGCTGGACACTGGCTCCCTCCCATACCCTCAGATCCGCCCCCCCACACCCCTCGGAAGCATCCAGGGATCCTGTGGGCAGCCGCTCATACGCTTTCCCCCACACGGGCCATTTCTGTGCAGCGCAGCACCCAGCATGTAATCACTCACAAACGTCGTATGGTGAGAGGTGAGGTACCCCTGCTGTTCTCCTGTGCAGACCCATCTGAAAAAATGAGGTGCAGGCACTTCCTACATCCCTTGGGAAATGTCAGTCTGCTTCTACATCAACGTGCCCTTGCTCCTCACTCGGGAAAAGGGGCTTAGAGGCTGGTGTCTCCGTCCACTGAGAACTCCCAGCTCGGCACCGCAGACACAAGAGGGTCTCCAGAACAGGTCCTCTTGAAGTGGGGGCCTGAGTCCCTGGAGAAACACACTTTGCTACAAACTAGCTGATTTAACTCAACACTCTGTCTTCTCTTCCTATGTACATGACACCCCAAGCCTAGTCTGTCATACCTCCTTGGGGCAAGAGGACAGACAGAACAGAACCTGACTCCTGGCAATCTGGGCGTCTGCCCAGGTGGCGAGACGGCTGCCAAGGCTTTTGCCTGCGCTCTTCCGGCTCAGGAGGGAACACGGTTGAGCTGTCCTGGAAGCAGCCGCTGAACCGCCTGGGGGAGCGCCTGCAGGCTGGGAAGAGGCTTCTTCCTGTGGGCCTCTAGCCAAGGGGCCACTTTTCGCTACCTTTGGCCTCTGCCTCCAACAGCCGAACACTGGCTTCCTTCTCCCTTCTTGGATAGAGCTGTTTGGCCTTATCCCAAGCTGGTGGTTGAGTACAGGCCCTGGGCTCTGGCAGACCTGGTTCAAGGACCGGCTCTGCTTTGCTCTTGCTGTGTGACCTTGGGCAATGCATCAGCTGCTCCGAACCTTCGCATTCTCATCTTTGAAATGAGGATGGCACCATCTACCTTGAAGACTTGTGAGGATTTCATGACCATACACCCGAAGTGCTTAGCACAGTACCTAGTGCCTACCACAAGGAACCGGTAAATGTTAACGGCATCCTCATCACCCACCGCCAGCATCCCCTTCCCTGCTTCGTACCTTTTCAACACCAGGAACCAGGATTGGCGAGGACCTGTTTGTTCCAGCCATTTGTAGGCGGAAAATCTGGAAGCCACCTGCCACCCTCTCCCACACGAGTGAAGGCTGCAGAGAGGCCACCTGTCTCTCCCCACCTGTAACCTTCTGCTCCCTGTGACCTCCCCTGGGCCCTTACTCCTGCTCACTGCTTTACTCTTTTTAAAACATTAATATAAACTTTTACTGTGGATGAAAACCATCCACTCATACATGCCACACGTTTAAATAGTGTTTTTTATCGTTATTTAACTTTACTGGCCTAATAACATTATGTTATCCTAATACTTATGAAAATGATCATAACTTTCCTCGATTATGAGATCATATTGATAACGCATGTCATGGCATTTATGGACTGACACTGCTTTTCAGAAACAAAGCTGACGATACATCTATTTCAGGTTTGGTTTGCTGACAAATAATCAGCTAAGTCGGTGCAGTGGCTCACACCTGTAATCCCAGCACTTTGGGAGGCCTAGGAGGGAGGATCACTCAGGGGTTCACGACTACCCTAGGCAACACAGTGAGGCCCATCCCTACAAAAAGTTAAAAATTAAAAACAAATTTAGACACAAGAAGCCTGAGGGTGATGTTGTGCTGCTGTTATTCACAGTGACGGTGCTCTTGTTTATGGACAGGCAGGACGGACTGACTGGTTTCCACAGGTAGGAGAACAAGCCTGACATCATGAAGCCTTGAACTGGGTGACTTTCCCACAGCGAGAGCTGTTATTTTCACTTTGAAAAGTAAATACGGTCATTTTTTTGTTATCAGCCATCAGGTCACCCACATCTGAGCAGGCGCTCACATTAAAAGGCGCTGGCATTACTTCCATCACAAGGCAGCCTCTCTGGGCTGGGCGCGGAGGCTCATGCCTGTAATCCCAGCACTTGGGAGGCCAAGTGGGGAGGATCATTTGAGGTAAGGAGTTTGAGACCAGCCTGGCCAACATGGTGAAACCTCGTCTCTACTAAAACTAAAAAAATTAGCCAAGTGTGGTGGCGCGCGCCTGTAATTCCAGCTACTTGGGAGGCTGAGGCAGGAGAATTGCTTGAACCCAGGAGGCAGAGGTTGCAGTGAGCTGCGATCACACCACTGTACTCCAGCCTGGGCCAGAGAGAGACTCTGTCTCAAAAAATAAAAATAAAAAATTCAAAAAAGCCAGCCTCTCAAGATCTCAGCAGTCACACACAGCTTGGAGTCTCACCAGGAGCCTCGGCCAGCCAGAGTGGCCCAGGGGGATGCAGGCACCCCAAAATTCTCTCCCCGCAAGGTGCAGGCTAAAGGGAAGGCCCTGTGACACCCCCAGCTGTTCCCTTGTCCTGGGAAGCTTCCCACCCACCTCCCAGGGCAATGTCTCCCCCAAGCTCTGGCTCCCACGCTTCACGCTCTTCATTCTTCCTAGCCATCTCTCATCATTCATTCCCCTTTTCTACCACAGGCCTACAAACAGATTCTAATTCTCCAAATCTAAACCTTAAAAAAGGAGAGGACAGAAAGGGAAGGAGGATGGGGATGAAGAGAGGCCCTCCTGCCTCCTCCAGCGACTGTATTTCCTTCCCGTGTCCCTGTGCTGCCAACTTATCTGACGCGTCTGCTCTCGTTCCTCGACTGCCCTCTTGCCATCCCCATGACCCTCGGCTGAAGCTGCTCTAGGGCAGCCCCATGGTGACCTTCTCCTCAGGCACTCCGGTGACCTCTCCCCGCCCCCAGCCTCTCTGCGGTGCAGATGTTATTCCTGCTGACTTTGTCCTCCCAGGGTGGGCATCTGTCATTTTTCGTGCCACATTTTGTTGATGCTTTCCTTCATCACCTTCACGTTGCCATCCTCCCCGGTTGGCTGGATACTGGCCAGTCCTACTTGGCCACCCCTGCCCGGTCCTAGCTTCACCTTTGACTGCTCTCCTGTGCCCGCTGCCCTCGCCATCTCCTACCCCGGTCTCTCCTACAGCCACACGTCAGGTCCTGACACTCTTCTGTTTAAAAAGCTGTTGAAGGCACTGTCACAAAGAAGTTGCTCAATCTGGCTTCTAAATAAATGAGTGGATAAAGGGATCAATGAACAAACCTATCGTTTCTCCCTTGCCAAAGCCAACGACTCTGGCCAAATGATGTGCCATCTAAAGCCTCTGCATCTCAGGTCCTCACCTGTCCTAGGCTCCTGGTTCTTCCTGGTGACCTCCACCCAGGTGTCAGGTTATGTCCCCCTCCCCCCATCCCTAAGACTGAGTCACTGCTCTCCCAACCTGCTTTGCCACCTGTGTTTATCTCACCCAGCAACCAGTCCTCCTCTGTGCCACCCACACCATTCCCCTCTCCAAAAACCTGCCATCCAGTTAGCTGCCAAGTTCTGTGCATTTGACCTCCGTGACACCCCTTCAAAAGTCCTCTCCTTCTCTACCTGCCTTGTCTAGACAAGGGCTGCCAGGTGATGAGGTATTTCTGGGTCACTGCATCAGTCCCCACCTTTCCTGCTCTCAGAAGCTGTAGGGTGCTCAATCTTTTCATTCTCCAGCCACCTTCCTCACTGCTACTCAGGTTTGCTTTCTAAGGCACAGTTCTGGTCTGAACATTGTGCTCCTCCTCACATCTCTTCCATGACTCCCACTGTCAATGAATAATGCCCAAACTCAATGCACTCAAGCACTTCCAGGATCCAAACTAAAACTCACCTTGCCCTGCTCTCCACTCCCTCCACTCCAGCTGCAATGGACTTCGACCTGAATCCACCACCCACCCACGCACCCACCTTTGACCAGGAGGCACCTCTTAATAGACATCTGTTCAGCTCGACAGAGAATCACTGCCCTTCAATCACCCTGGAAGCTCATGTGGAAATCGAGTCAGGGCACATTTTTGTCCTCTGATTAACACGTATCCTTATTCAGTCAACCACTGGGGGCATGTGCCCTGCCCAAGGGAAACCACCACAGTTCCCTGGAGGCAACTGAGACTTCGGGAGTGTGTTTCTTTTCTCCAGGAGCAGTCAGCACCCATCACTTTTCTTTCATCACTTTACATAGAAGCTTCTGGAAGACCTCCAGCCACTCTCTAATGGCAGAAAAGCAGGTAACACCAGGCTGGTCTTCACAAAACTGTGGAGTGCTGACAGCCTTCTTGGGGCCAAAAGAGCTCAAGAGAAAGCACACTTCCCAGGGCGACACCGATGGCACTAAATTCCAGCTTTCACAACATGTTTTAAGGAAAATGGTCCACCTTGGGACTGCCCAAAATGAGGATCTACAACCTTCACCACTTCCCACACCATGGAGCATCTGTGAAGAAGACACCCCAAACAGCAGCTGATTGCTGAGAAAGGGGCCCACCTCCTTTTCCAGAGAGAGGCAGGAGACATCCTGGAGTCCTGTCTTCACCTCGACATCTTACCTTCTAACAAAAGCCACAGAAGGTAATGGCCCAGACTCTGTACCCCCACAGGACATCCACGCTCCCAAACCTGCATTCAAGGACCTGCCATTCCTGGGCTCTCTCCTCCCCCAGTGCTGCCTCATCCTTCAACATGAGCCCACACAGGGCCTTGCCAGTCGCCTTCCCGCCTGCCTGTGAGGCCCACCCACATCCCTCCTCTCTCCCGGCCCACCCCATCTGTCCTTCAACATCAAGTGGAAGTCCCCTCCCACACAAACTCCTCTCGAGAGAAAGAGCTCCGTCAGTCCAGCAAACTCCCATGGCATTCGCTGGGTGCCTGTGGCTGGTCACCTCTCACTGGCGCTCTGGGGATCTCAGGCTCCTGGCCTCGCCCGCGGTGGTGAGCACAGTGCTGGGCACCCAGCAGGCCTGCCTGCAGTGGCTGCTGACAGACAAATGGACTGCCCAAAACGCAGTGGCCACACAGCAGCTAACAGTAGCCCTATGGGTGGCCCATGAGGAAGACGGGACAACGGAAAGGAAGCAAACTACTTTTACTGAAGCCCAAATGACACCAGCATGGCGGCACTTTCATACGGCAGACCTCACTTCACATTTGGCAACAGTCCTCATAGGCAGATGTTATCATCCCATGTTCACAGACAAGGAAACCAGGGCCCACGGCTGGGGCACTGCTAAGTGACTTTCCAAGCCACACACGGTAAGCAGTGAGGCAGGATTTGAAGCCACATCACTGATCTCCTCAGAGCCTTGAAAAGGGGAGCCTCACCCTTTCCCACCCCCATGCTGCTGTGCTGTGTACCCCTTGTTCTAGGCAGGCCTTTGGCCATAAACGGGGTACCCATTCCATTCCCATTGAAGGGTGCTCCTGAGGCCCATGGAGAAGCCCCTTGACCCAGAAGTTCCAGCCTCTAGGTCCCCAAGCTCCAGCCAGAACCTGTGGCCAACCAGCCCCTCCCTCTCCCATGCCTGTTTTCTTGCAGCTGGGCTCTGGCTCCAGCCTGATGGGGACCTGCCACAGCCCGCCTGCCCTTCAGGGCCCAGATGTTTGCTAAACAGGCTGGGCTGGTAGAAGCTCACTGTTTGCTCAAGGTGACAAGGGACTGGAGGCAGAGGGAAAGGACAGTGACACATGCCACCAGGGGAGGCCACACTCGTGTGTGGGCCTGTCCCCATCACATCAAAAACACTCTCCTCCCCCTGCTTCACGTGGGTCCTCACCTTGCAGCTCTTCATGGGCAGAGCGTAAGGTCGGGCTCCAGTCCCAGGGAGCAGCAGGCAGAGCAACAGAGCTACGTCTCTGGCCTGCCAGCAGTCCCCAGGTCGGCTCTGCCAGCTAGGGATCTGGCCACAATGCCCACAGCACACAGGCTCTTCATGGGCCAGAGTCTCTGGAGATTGGACTCTATTTGAGTAGTGTTTTTAAACACTGGAAACAACGTTGTAATAAGCTGTCAAATCAATGTATTTAAACACAGCCAGTATATATACATATACTTTTTTTTTTTTTTTGAGATGGAGTCTTGCTCTGTTGCCAGGCTGGATTGCAGTGATGCGATCTCGGCTCACTGCAGCCTCCACCTCCCAGGTTCAAGTGATTCTCCTGCCTCAGCCTCCCAAGTAGGTGGGACTATAGGCATGTGCCACCACACCAGGCTAATTTTCATATTTTCAGTAGAGATGGGGTTTCACCATATTGGTCAGGCTGGTCTTGAACTCCCGACTTCGTGATCCACCCGCCTCAGCCTCCCAAAGTGCTAGGATTACAGGCATGAGCTACTGCGCCCAGCCTACAGCCAGTATTTTTAAAACATAAATAGAACAGAAAATATCACAGTGTAACTGTACTTAGTAAAAATCAATCTTGTTTTATGAAACTTTAGTTTTAGTGATAATAGATATATGCTGACTTTGAGATCACAATGTCAAAATGTGTATTGCTTACAGTTGGTCACGGGAAAAAAGTATCTGAGAGCCGCTGCATACGACCTCAGAGCAGAGACCTGCCAACAGCTGCAGCCACTTGGCCTATGGACTGGAGTCCAAAGGACAGGGCACTGGGTGCCTCCCCCTGGCCAAAGATGAGTCGCAGGTTCCTCTCGAGAGGCAGAAAAGGCTTTGCCAGGGGAGGCCACCATGCTGGTCTGTGGACAAATGACTACCAGACTGGCCCTGCCAGGTGCTACCTTGTCTGGAGGCAAGGGAGGGCCGAGAAGCCCAGCGAGAGCCTCCCAGAGCCCCTCCCACAGCCAGCCGCCAGTCCAGGAGAGGTGACTCACCTGAGGCATCCAGGCTACGTGCACTGCGTGACGAGGGGAGGCGCTGAGGAGCCTCTGACCTCCTGGGCCTGGGCTGCCTCCTTCACCCACTGCTGTGCCCAGCCTCTCCCAGGCAGAGTCAGAAAGCCCAGGTGTCAGGCCCTACAGAACTCCAACAGGTCGTCCTGCCCTGGCTGCCGGACCCAGCTCAATCCCTTCCCTGGGGGCTGGGCAGTGGCTGGACCCCTGTGCTCACTGGGAGAAAAATGTCAGCCTGTGAATGACGGTTCCTGCTGCCATGCTAATTTTCCCACAGCTTCCCACTCAGGGCCACTCACCTTGGTTCAGCCAAAGGAACAGAGTGCCCTGTTTGAATATTTTCAATCACACACTTTAGGGCCAAAGATAGCACCGTGTCCCTGCCTGGAAGGCCTTTTATTTCAAAGGGATGATTGACAAGAGTCTCTCCGCTGCCACTTTGCAATGACACAGCAGTAGCTATTAGTTTGCCACACTGTCCCCAGACCAACCTGGCCTCAGCTAAACCTGGCCTGGGCCCAGAGCCTATGTGGTCACAGTTTAGGAAAGGCCTTCTTTCACTGGGCTCCAGGAACAGAACAGTCAACGGAGTTAGAGTTGGGTGTTCCTGGCGGAGCCGCAGCCTTACTTCTCAGACGGATGCTGCCGGGGTAATTAGGCTGAGTTCTGGCTCAGGGTTCTGCTTGAAACTTGACTGCCCCCAGCCCTGGCTCAGAGGTATCTTGTTCCAGGGACAATGCCTGGCATCTCAGCTTTCAAAGGCACTCCCTAATTATTGTTAATGGCTACAGAGGAAACTGCTTTTCCAGATGCCATTCTGGTGGGAGGGTGTGTATTATTTATAGCTGGAGTTACAGAGACAGAGGCTTGAATTTGGCTTCTCTAATCTGGAAGAAAACTAATTGGATTTGAGCCAGGCCTGAGCCCAGGAGAGGGCCCTCACCATAACTGCAGCAGTCTTGCTGCCCTGGGCTATCCAGGGCCTCCTATTTGAAAGCCTTGGAGGCTGTTCAGACATTAATTAAGCTGTTGATGCCCTGCGGTGGGCAGGCTGGCAGGCAAGGCATCGTCAGAGATCTCGTGCCACTTTCTGCCAGAGCTGAGGTGACGGAGCCCTCGTGCCTTGGATGTGATAACTCCCATGCCAGGGATCCCTGCTGCCTGAGGCACTGGCATTCTGACAGTGGGGTGAGGCTACCCTGACAGGTCCCTTCTTAGTTACTTGTGGTTGAAGGCACTTGCCTGATGAGGCTGAGGCTTGCCAGCGTGTCTGGGGTCCCTTTGTGGGGGAACACTAGGCTCCTAGAGTCTGACCCTGCCCACAGATGGGTCAGAGCCTAAATCCTAGTTTTGTAGAGTTAGATCAGACCTCTAAGGCTGGAAGGTCAGGAGGGAGAGCAATTGAAGAGGACCTTGGGAGCTGGGAGCTCTCACCAGCCCAAGTGATGATTACCTCCCAGCTCAAATCAGAGCAGCCGAAATCTGCCCATCCCAACACATCCCAGCGGCCCCTTTCCCTTATAAAGGGAAACAAATCAGGCCCAGCCCGCCTTCCCCTCCTGTCAGTCACGCACCCTCACAGTTGGGAAGCCAGGGATGTTGAAGTCTCTGCAGACTGCACTATTGGTCTCCTCCGCACAGTCCAGGGCAGCGAGATTCAGGGCCGGCCTCCAGGCTGAAAGGACAAAACACCCAGCAGTAAGTAAGAGGGGCCAGCACCCCCTCTGCCTGCTCATCTCCCTCCATGCAATGTCCCGCCCCGACAACCCCTCAGCACCTGATCCCAAAGCTCTTATGACAAAGGTCACACCTTCCTCCGAAAAGGACCCTGAGATATTCCATTTGGTCTGCACTTAGCTAGCGCCTCACAAAACAGAACCTGTGCTTAGGATGATTAGCATAAGTAACTGCCTCATAATGGTATGTGTTTCCCCATCGCTATGCGGGGCCAGGGATAGGGGCTGAGAGATGTTGAAGGCGTCTGCCCTCCTCCGCACCCCTGGGGAAGAGCCCTGGTATTGCCTCTGTCCTTGGGGCCCCAAATGGCATCAGTTCCAGGATGGAGAACACATCTTAGGGGATTTGGAATTCCCAAGGGGACCCTTTGGGAAGGTTCCTGGGGCCAGAGGTACTAGTAGTCAGCAGAAGTTGACTGGTTGGGGCACAGGGTATTGGGAACTTGGTCCCCAGCCAGGAAAGGGGCATCTGGAATCCAGGAACTGCAGGGAAAGAAGTCTTGAGGCCACAGTCTGGCAGATTAACCCAGTCCCTTCATCAGACCCCAGGCCACAAGGCCTCCAGCAGCTGAAACATGGGGAGAGAGAATAATGGCACCATCTGGGCCATGGTCCAGGATCCAGGAAGAAGAAACAAACTTATCTAACAGGCAGCTCTCCTGAACTCAGATTCCCAGTCAGTCCAGTGGGCAAGGAGCTGCCTGAGCAAGGAGAGGAGGAGAGGACTGGCAGAGACCAGGCTGCCTGGAGAGGAGGATTTTTGGGAGGTGTGGGAGCTAGAATAGAAGGGAGCAAGAAGGAGCCAGACTGGGAGTGTTTGCCTGAAGGGCTCGGGATGACCTCCACGGCAGCTGGAGCCACATGCGTCTCTGGGGCACATGAGAGGAGGACCAGGCCTGCCTGGTGGCCCCCACAACTCCCATTTGAAGCTCATGCCCAGGGACAGGGAGTTTACACAGGCGGCCCACCCAGCACCCATTAACCACAGAACACTAATATCTGAATAACATCCCTGACGGTCACAGTTCTACCAGGACCTCTGACCCCACCTGGAACGTTTTGGATCTGTGTCCCCTTCAAATCTGATGTTGAAATGTGATCTCCAGTGTTAGACGAGGTGGGGTGTAGTGAAAGGTATTAGACCGTAGGGTCAGATCCCTCATGAACAGCTGGGCACTGACCCCTTGGTAATGAGTGAGTTCTCACTCTGAGTTCTCCTAAGATCTGATTGTTTAAAATAGGGTGGCACTTCCCACCCCCTCCTGCTTCCTCTCCTGCTTTGCCTTCTGCCATGAGTAAAAGCTTTCTGAGACCTCCCCAGGAACTAAGCAGATGCTGTGGACAGCCTGTAGAACCAGGAGCCAATTAAACCTCTTCTCTTTACAAATTACCCAGCCTCAGGTATTTCTTTTTAGCAATGCAAAAATAGCCTAATACTCTCCCCTAGGACTTATTCCTTATGATGTCTGAGAAGAACACAATTTCAGAAGATATCAGAGCTCCTAAGAACACTTTATGCCTGAGAAAGGGGCGTTACCCTCACTTCCATGAGACAGACGTAGGAAGAGCCTGGCACACCCTGACGCATCCCTTGAAAGAAGGCGGCTAAGCTGACCCTCCTGGGTCTGATACGAGTGAGGGGCTCTGGGAGCTGGGAGGAAGGCCTCTGGCCACACCACCCCCTCCTTTCCGTAGTCTGCTCTTGGCATTGTAGCTTCTGGACTCCTCGCAGGAGGGAGTGGGTGGGGGGTTGGGGAGAGGAAGGAGATGGAGGTATTTACCAGAGACAGACTTCAAAAGTAGTAGAGTCAGAGCCACATCTTATGATGCCATTTCCCCAGTCTCCTCAATACCCCCTCATCAGACACTTTTTGGGGAGCTTTCCCGACTCCCTTAGCACACAAGAATAGCAGCTTGAGCTTCTCAAGTATCTGCAAGCTGGGGTGCATCCTTTGACTTTAAATCTCACCTGCAGGGCAGCCAGCACAAATGCAGGTATGGTCAGGGCCTGTTGCATTCCAGGCCCAGGATGCAAACCTTCCGCCCCTACCACGGGATTGCTGGTCCCAACCTGCCTCCACATCCTGTCCACTCTCCTTCCGAAGTCTCTTTCCCCACCCAAACCTCCATCTCCTCATGCCTGTCCTAGGCAGGTGTGAACCCGTGATCTGGCTTTTTACTGACCTCACCTCCAACCAACCCTCCGTGTCCCATGAACTAGTACGGGTTCTCATGGCAGGTCCTCTAAAGAAACAGCAACATCTCATTTCTCTCCTGGTGAGGTTCTGAAATGCTCTACCCCTCACTGGCCTCTCTAGCCACCAAATGATGTTCTCATTCTGTGGATCTAACAATGTCATTCTCTATTCAGCATTCTTTGAGGGCTCTCACTGACTTTCGAAGAAAACCTACAACCAGAAGGCAGTTCTCCATTTGGCCCCTGTCCACACATCCAGCCTCCTCTTACAGTTATTTTATGTTAAATTAAGTAATCTATATTCATAAAATATCATTTCTAAGTCAATTAAAATACTGAAACATTAATTGCTTTTAAAGTATATATGCTTTGGCATCTTGCTTTTGTGTGCCATAGAAAATACAAACATATTTGGGTCCGTAATAAGCATGAAAAATTGAGGAAGCTCAGTTCTAAAAAAAAACCAATTCTGAAAAAATAAATTGAGGAAACATGTTTCTAGAAATTATGAAATGGTGAGTGTTGATGGAAGACAGTTCACAACGCTTGCTAGTTTTCACTAGAAATTAAGATTACTAAGGAGTAAAAACTAATTAATACAAGGCAACTAAAACTAGAAATAATAAGGGACGCAGCTCTGTATGCAAGGGAAGTATGGCAGGGTTTATAAAGGAAGTCATAAAATACGAGCATGTATTTTGGGTAAGGGAAAAAGAGAGTCACTTTGTTCTAAAGTACAGTGACTGATTATTTCACAATGAGAAAGAGGAAGAGGACAGGACAAACTAATGCATACAAGGAAGTTGTGAAGAGAAAAGAACTTCAAGTGTGGTCAAATGGGTATTGTTTTTGTGTTTTTTAAACATTAGCCTTAATATCAAAAGTGCACTGATGTAAAACCAGAATTTAGTCCTCTCTGATAAAATAAGGTTTTCCTGAAGTACTTATCTGTTCTTAAAAAGAAACAGTGAAAGGTATTTCTGTAGGTAATTATCCTAAGAAAGCAAGACCTTTGTTTTATCAAGATGATTCCCTGTGTTTCATGTTGTCTTTATTAGGTCTTTGATTACTTAATGGGTTCCTCCCTATAAAAGAGCTAAGGTTTTTTCCTGCAACGATGTAACATTCTATATTTTCCTTTTGAAGTCTTTTAATTATCATTCTGGTTAGATGAATGACTGTGAATTAACAGTGATCTGTGATCCAATTTTGATCAAGTGATACTTTTGTTTTGCTTTTTTTTTTTTTTGTTTTGAGATAAGGTCCCACTATGTCACCCAGGCTGGAGTGCAGTGGTGCAATTGTGGCTCACTTGTCCTTGACCTCCTGGGCTCAAGTAATTCTCCCACCTCAGCTGCTTAAGTAGCTGGGACCACAGGTGCACACCACCACACCTGGCTAATTTTTTAAAATTTTTCTATAGAAACGGGGTCTCCCTATGTTGCCCAGACTGGTCTTGAACCCCAGGGCTCAAGGTATTCTCCTGCCTTGGCCTCCAAAAGTGTTGGGATTATTGGCATGAGTCCCCACGCCCAGCCTGATTACATGTTTTAATTTTAAAACTTTGATATTTTGTTTACAAACTTCCCAAAATCGAATTCTAAATTAAGTCTTTTTGAACTTGAACTAGTTTCGGAACATTGCAGGGGCTCCTGGAACATCTCAAAGGCTCTGCAAAGGAGAGATATTAAACTAGTTATGCTCATTTGCTATATTAATTACACAGGAAGCATTGTCAAATAAGAAACGATGTTTAACTTTGACATATTTATTAATGGAAATTTATACTTGTTATTAATGTGTATCCCCAAAATTATATGATATTCTTAGAAATATGATGTATTATCGGCCATAATTTTGGTTATTAGGTTAAAATGTTGTATCCCTCAGCAATAACCAAATTTCCTTGTCAACTGTGTCATTGTTATGAACTTTCATCAGACCTTTAACCACGACCATTTTGTCTTATAGTCCATAGTTAATTGCTTTATTCTGAGGCTTTTCTAAAAGCTTTTGTCTAAGCAACTATAATCCTAAAGTGCTTCACCTTCAATGAGATCCATGGAAAAGTCTCTGATAAGTACTATTTCTAATAACTTCGAGATAATATAATTGGACTGGGAAAGAATTTCCAGAACTCTAATGTAAAAACTGATGGGTCTGCAAAACTGATAATCGAGATCGAGCAGAACAATAACTACATGAAACTAAATGAACTAATGAAGAATTATGGGTTTCTATAGTTTTTAAATTTGAAACATTGCTGGTACTTCTTAATGTTTTGTTGTCCAGATTTAAGAACACTTTTTTTGTTTTAAGCTATCTATAGTTCACAGCAATTTGGTAAAGTACACTCTTGTAAACAAAAATGGAGACATTTTCTCCCTATATGACCTCTCCGGAATTCAGAAACTATTTGTGAATATTCTTATTTTTACGGCAATACTGTTATCTGCATAAGTTCAGTAAGCATCTTCTCTCTTTATAACAGGATACACTTGGAAACACTGGTCATACTACCAAGCTTTTGAGTGCGATGCCATGCTTGAGAATGTAGTACAATGAATCTATAGGTGCTGCAGGGGAAAGGTGAAGTTGGGCTTGGTTTGGCTTCCTAGCCTTGAGAGGTTGTTCAAAGTCCAAGCTGAGATTCCTTATCGATAAGTTCCGCAAAGCAAACTTAAAAAGAGCCTACGGGGTCAATCACTATTCTTGCCACACTGATGTAAATAATCAGGCCAA